TTATGCTATAGCCATAATGTAAGATATGATAAAAGCTAGAGACTTCTGCAAGCTCTTCTCTAGAAGGTCCTGGCAGCCCCAATAAACGTGTTTGTTCAAAGTAGAAGTCCTCTGCTTACAATCCTTCTTTTTAATTTTAATTGAGATTTTTTGGTGAAAGAATGCTAATATATAAATGCAATAATTTTAACTCTTGAAAATACTCTCTTCTTAGTTCAGCTAAAGATCAGGTAACTGAAAATGAAGAAGTTTTGTACTTGGATATTTTTACTGAAGCACGCTAGGTGGCCTTTCTCTTCAGCATTCCTGAAACTGGATGTTTGGAAAGCTGTCCAGCATAACTGATTGAGAGACGATTCCGTATTTCTGTGCTTGAGTTATGCAAAGCATATCTCTGAACTGTTCCAGGAGAACAGAGGAGGGAGTAACTGCTTGCCAACGATCTCCCAGTAGGCAACTACAGATTGCCTACGTGCATTCTGAATTCTAGTAAGGCTGGCTTTTGGTGTTCCTTCATCTTCTGCTTGTATAATTCAACAGTTGGAGTTACTCATCGGCTAGATGAGCAGTCTGTGCTTCAGGCATTCGCTTGTACCAGCATAGCTAGCTGTGCAGCTGAGCAATAGACCTGAGTGTGGAAACAGGAACAAACTGCTGAGAGCAAATACTGCTGAAGCTGCCGCTGCTGCCAAGACATCTGCATAGCTGTAATGCAGATTTACTGATCTAAAACTTACCTAAAAGAGAAGTACAGAGAACCTGGGGATTGAAGTGGTGCCTCACTAGTATCTGTTAAAGATAGGTCTGGAGGAATAAAGCTTAGAATAGCTTTTCTAACTGCTTTCTAGATGCATCAAAAGGTAGCTTTCTGATGCTGTAGCTTAAGTCCACCATGTGTGAGGTGATATTTAAAAGTATGGACCTAACCAGAATGTGAAGCTGGTCTATTATCAAGCTTTTAGACTAGGGTAATATACTAGTGTAATAGTGTGTTCCTGTTGGAAATTCAGCTTTGAATAGTTCAAATGACTAACTGGCAATGAAAACTTGAACTGCAACTTCAAACTGCTGAACTAAATTTTCATCAGAAACCCAGCTAAATTTATTTGCAGGTATTTAGCTTTTTAAGAAACCCTGGATGTTACTTCTAAAATGCGGTGGAAAGATACTGCTGTACTTTTTAAAAAAACATATTAGTTCAACTGCTTCAAAAAAGATAAAGTACTTAAATGGCTTCTGAGAGTTTTTAGTTTTGAACTTTTGTTCATTCTGCTTCCTTTAACTGCTGTATTAATGAACATTTTAGTGTAGGTTCCACATTTGAAGGGGGGGGCGGGTGGGTGGGAACAACAAAGCCCACAAAAACACAAATCAAGGCTTTGCTCAGTCTTGCTTAATTCACAGTGTTTTTATATGGAACCAAGAACTATTTAGCAAATGCAAAGAGAATTAATTATCTTTTTATTACAAAGGATGAACAACTTTCTCTTTGTGATGAAAGTTGTACGTTGTCTCAAGTAATTGCACAGAAATTAATTTGGTTTAGTTTGGGTTTTGTCATATGCGTTGACTAAGGAAGAACTGCTACATGAACTTGCAGTACAACTAGAGCACTCCCTTGGTAAGTGCTTATGTTCCCAGAAAAATCAGGCAACCTAATGAATGCCTCTTTTAGGAGAGGGATGTTATCTTACGTTTAGTGTATGTTGGGAACAGGCAGATGGGAGGTTGCAGTGTACTAACTGACCTGTGGTAAGCTTATGCTATTGCTTTTTTCCTTCTCCCCTCCTAGTATCTTTTACTTCTGCAAAACCTCTTGCTATCTTCTGCATGAACCGCTTTACAGTTCTGGAGGGGATGATATTGGCAGTGGTGGTGTTATGGTGTCATAAGGTCAATTATGATGCATTAGAGTGTAGCTCTTTCTGTTGATGTTCAGGGAGCGAGTTGGTTGGTTTGTTTACTTGTTTTAGACCAGCAATGATTTGGCTATCTGTAAAAGGTTGTAGCTTGTTGTGGAGTAGAATAAAACCAGTGTTTTTCTGGTGCTTCTCTGACCAGTGTCTGGAAACTTGCAAAGGACTGGATGTTGTAGTAGTGGGTTTTGTTTTAAACATTAGGATTCATCTTGAAGATTGTTAGTGCTTTGCCACTTATTAATTATTAAGTGGATTATTAAGTATGTATTTAGTCATCAGGAAAACCAGTGTTTGATGCCTACCCTTCTATAAAATAACATGGTAGGGTTCTTCAAATTTCTCTACACTGCATAATTTTTTTTCACGTGCTTACTTTTGAACATTGGTTTTAGTTCTTTACTGGTGATTTACTTATGATGGCTTTGGCTGCGTAGTCTTTCCCTTCTGAAGAAAATACTGTAAACATGATGAAATTCAATTTTTTTGATTAGCCAAGGAATATTTAAGTTGTGCTCCATATTCTACTGTAGGGTACTGGTGTCTTAGTAGCAAAAATTATAAAAGTTTACTTAACTAACTTAGTCATACTCTAATAGTAAGTGTTTACATACTCCAGAGATCTAAGGAGTCCAAATAAAATGCTTAATACATCTTGTAATTTTGTTAAGCCTTTAATAGGAAGCATTCAGCTTTATTCTTGTGATCTAATTTATGATTAGCAGTCTGGATAAGACCATTTCATTTGTGCATGTGAGCGCTTTCTGCACACAAATTATTGGGGGCTGGATATAATAGCGTGTTATTCCAATACCGTATCGTGAATCTAAGTGTCTTTTCACATGGGGAAAAAAAAAAGAAATTGTGCAGCTTATTTGGAGAAGTAAGAGTCAGTACTGTACAGAAGTAAGTAGGAGTAGTGTCCCCTTCTCAGGTGTCCCTGCTTATGGCAGAGAGGTTGTAACTAAATGATCTTTAAGGTCCCTTCCAACCCAAAACCATTCTATGATTCTCTTTGTGCGGTATTCAGTGGTGGAGTAGATGTCTTAAGATGTTTTTGTGCTTTGGACACTGAATGCTACATTTCTCACTTCTGAGAATTAGTGTAGGTAGAATTTCTGTAAATAGGAGCATATTCTGGGGTAAGATGCTCTTAGCCCAAAATATCTGTCTTTGAATCTGTCCTACTGTAAGCAAACTGTCTCCAGCCTAAAAGTTGCCCTTGTCTAATGAATGCTCTCACATCCTCTGTAGAAGAGAAGAATCTGGGAGTGGTCAAGCCTCTTGCTTCTGGGAAGCATAATGCTTGTCTTCCAGTCTGCTTTTGTGAGTCAGCCACTTCTAAAGGCTCCTGGAGTAGCATTAGAAGAACTGAGTCTCTAGAGTACTTCGTCTAGCAAGCACCCTGTACCCTCCTAGTTAAGGGGATGTTCTGAAGGTGGGAGACAGTGCTTGAAGGGAGTTGCATTCTCATGCATTCTGTGTTCCTGCCTCAGTCACTGGTATATTTAAGAAGAGGGAATTAAGCTATTTTGTGCAACTCTCTGAATCTGCTCTTCTTGGTTTTGTTTTTTTTCCCCACCCCTAAAGTTCTTGGATGTGGAAACAACTTTTTTAGTGATAAACATTCTAATTTTCTGGGGAGAGCTTTTGCTCTGTAGTCCAATGCAATGATTCGGGATACTTGGTGTCTAGTTCTTTTGAAACGTTTTTTCAGAGTTCATTAATGATTTAGTGGATGCTGCGTAAGGTGTGGTTTCACAATACTCTAAAATCTGTATCGGCAGCAGCTATTGGTTCTGCATTTCTGGCACTTGTCTGATCCTGCATTTCCTAAGCTGGTTCAGAGAGCTCAAGTGGAAGAACGTAAATTGCTGTTTCTGGTTTAGTTTGATTGCTTGATCCATCGGTCCTGTTGTGGTGCCTAAAAAGAGGTAATACAGGGCTCGCAGCAGTGCAGTGTTACAGGCATAAACCTTACTGAACTACAGTTCTTCTTCAAACAGTAGCAACGTATTCCTTTTTTTGATCAATTTCTTGCTTATAACACTTTTTGGTAGTTGAAAAACACTAGTTAGTGTTTGGAAGAGACAAGCCCTAATGAAATGTGATAGCTTAAAGTAAAAGTCTGCAGATGTATGTCCCCTTTATCACTCATTCAGCTCATGAGAGTGCTGCAATCGGTTTGAAATAATCACTGTTACAGTAAGGCCTGTATTTCCCTCATGCCCCAGACAAAGCTGGCTGTTACCCAGAATTCTTCCTGTGATAGTTCCTTCTACCAGTGTACTGTCATGGTAACTTTTGTAAGATGCAGTGGTTTATAGGATTGAATATATAGTCTGATCCATGAAGGAATTTGGGCATTTCAAAACAATGGGTAGATCCCCAGATACTTTTGTAGATAACTAACAGTTCAGATATGTGTATCTGCAGCTTCTGCGTTTTTAAGCTGAATGTATGTTTAATTTTGTTGTTTCTTTAAAAGTCGTTTCGATGATTCTTATTTCAGAGAAGTTGAAATACATTTGCAACCAAAGTTTATTGCTTTTGTTTTAAACTCTTGTGCATTTTTACATCTAAGCAAGCAGAATAAAGAGCTTGCAAATGATACATGCTGCAGTTGTTGGGTTTAAGTCTTGTCAGACATGGAGCAGGTGAATAAAATTAAGCAAATAGCACTGCTGTGTTAGCAGACATGCAAAAGCTGTTCCTTCTGTTACTGAATTTAGGGACTTGAATGCCAAGTAATAAGCTAGATTACTTTAAGTGCTAGTCTGTGCTGTGAAGGAAATAGGGGCAAAAAAATCTGATTCTTTGTTAGCATGAATCTTTAATACGATGTTTAGAGAGTGTACTGAAAGGTCTTTTGGCATCCAGGCATAGCTTTAGTTCAAGCACTTCTATTTAGGAAAAACTTGTATTAGTGAAAAAGTTCATGTACAAATCTGTTGTAAACCATCTGGAGTAGCTAACTACTTTCTTTTTTTCTTTCTAGGAAATACCAAAATAAAGCAGATGTTGTGTCCTGTACTGTTATCTCAAGGTTTTGC